TTCCCAGCTCTGCCTTACTGCCCCTGGCTCCTCCTCCCAAACTGTGCTCCAAAATTTCAGTCTTCACCCCAGAGCAGCAAAGGGAACCCCCTCCTCCACACTGGGCTCACCAAAGAGCCATCCACACCACCACACCCCACCATCGATCACCATGGAGAAATCACTGTCCCAGCCCTCCCTGGGCTGTCTGCCCACCAACCACCTCAGACTTGACCCGTCTCTAGCCTAAGTGAGCTCTCACGGGAACAGCACACACTGTGACACAAAGCCTGACTCCCGCCCCACTGAGCTGGCCTCCCCGACCCTGGATGACGATGAACTAGCCCGAGCTCCCTCCTCCTCCACTCCTGCCCTTCCCCAACACTTACTGAAGCCTTCCTTCCACTGCCCCCAGGAGTATGTAACAACAAAAGCCCTTTAGGCCACCGAACATGATTTCTCTGCCTTCTGCTAGAATCAAGTACAGGACACCACACAATCTACACCACTACAGTACACCATGGAATTCCCCAGCACACCCAGGGTGCCTCCAGAACCCCCTTTCCAATGTCTCATCCAAATTCTGCCTCTGGTAGATATTACAATCAACCATACCCCCATTTTACAGACCATGAAACTGAGGCTCCTACAGCTACGCACAGCAGCCATCTCCTACTCACTATCAGGCTACGAATCCCAAAACACCTCTCCCCTCCCAAGGCTCTACGGCATTGGCTCACTCTCATGGATCACACCATATAATCGGGGCTGTAGGCTGGGAACTCACAGCTTCAGATCAAAGCTCCTCCCTGCCCAGTGTGCCGTGGGTAAGGCACTTGCCATCTCTTGGGATTCTTCTGCCTTAGTAAAGTGCAGACAAAGCCAGGCCTGGACTCAAAGGCCTGTTAGCCACAGGCTGGGATGTAGAATGAAAAGTCTAGGACCAGCCTGGGCAACAGTGAGGTCAAGGCCGAATTCTGGATAACTTAGTGTGACCCAGTCTCAAAAAAGAGGGCTAGAGAATTAGCTTAGGAGGGGGCTTACCCAGCATGCGTGAGGCCCTAGGTTCAATCCTGGACACTGCATACCTGTCTGTGTGTGTGTGTGTGTGTGTGTGTGTGTGTGTGTGTGTGTGTGTGTGTTAACATAAAATTGGGGACAAGACCACTGACCTGGTAGGACTGTCATGAGGACTGACTTAGTAAACGCACCTGAGGTGCTCCCTATAGGGACTGGCACTTTCCCTTACCACCACTCTTCGTTGACAGCCCAAAAGTCACTTAATCTTCATCCCAAAGTCTGCAAGCATGGCTCAGCAGAGGTCAGCTACCTTGCCTAGAATCCACAAGTAAGAGGCTGGGGCCACGGTTCAGTCATACAGCAATACAGCACTCACCCATCTTATACAAGACGCCACGTCAATTCCCTAGCAATACAGACAAATAAAAGCAAACTTTCTAATTGTCGTTCTTACTGTCCCTTCAGTACCTTGGCCTGGCATAAATCTGCCTGCTAATCTATGGTGGGACACCAAGGACCAAAGTCCTGTAACTCTGCAGTCTCAGCTCTGAGCTCCCCCCTCAGGGGGACCCCCACCCCACCCCCGGGGGGGATACAATGTGTCCAGTTTACTGCTGCACCTGACCCCACTGCCAGGAAGGAGCCCCTCCCAGCCCCGCAGCCCACCTTCCACCATGGGGAGACCACAGGAAGGGTAGAGAATTCTAGCACGGTAACTATTTCCACGCCTATGTGCTCTTCAGGAGCACAATGGAGCCACATGGAGCCCAACACTAGTGGGCAGATCTGAGAAGCCCAATCGTTATAACAGAGGGGAGATGTCCTTCTGTATGCTGTTAACATATGTTCCCCTTATGGGTTGATGAGTAAAAACACTGATTGGCCAGTAGCCAGGCAGGAAGGATAGGCAGAGGTACCAGACAAGGAGAATTCTGGGGAGAGGAAGGCAGAGAGAAGCCTTGAGGGAGACACCACGTGGCCACCGGGAAGATAGGACGCACCAGGCGTTCTCTGGTAAGACAAGGCCATGTAGAAATACATAGATGGATAGTTATGGGTTAATCATTAAGAGAGAGCTAGCCAGTAAGAAGCCTGAGCCATCGGCCAAACAGTTTATCATTAATGTAAGTCTCTGTGTGTTTATTTGGGGCTAAAGGGCTGTGGGACCAGGTGGGACAGAACCTCCGTCTGCATCTAATAAGATCTAGTGGCTATGACAGAGACAAAGGAAAACCAGGTTACTAGACTGGCAGTCAGCAAGGGCTCGTGACCTTCCTGTCTGAACTGAGACCTGAGAGAAGAGAGGGGAAGCCACTCAGACATCTGAGGGAAGCCCGTCAGATAGAGGGGAGACAGCGATATGGAGCATGTATTTGCTGTGTCCAAAGGACACCGAGACTTCATGGCCCCAGCAGCACAAGCAAGGGACTCGCAAAGGTATGGGACTTCGGAGAGGAAGGGGGACAAAGCTCTGAACTCTCGGGAGATCGTGTGAGCAGGTGGGGGCTGTGGAAGAGTGCGTGTGAGACAGGAGGGGGTTAACAGAGGAACAACACCATCTGACAGAGGTCTCATGTAACCTAGACTCCCCTGGAACTCCGGATCCTCCTGCCTCCATCTCCCAAGTTCTGGGATTGCAGAGGCTCATCACCACGCCTGGCCTATCCAGAGCTTGGGATCAAACCCAGGTCTTCACACAAACTGGGCAAGCATCCATCATCAACCTCATTTTTTTTTTTTTTTAGCTAGGATCTCACAATGTAGCTCAGGCTGGCTTTGAACTCACAATATTCCTATCTTAGATTCTGGCATGCTAGGATTTTTTTTGGGGGGGGGCGGGGAGTCGGTTT